AGGGTATGTTATCGAATGATCTACTAACTGCAGAGCTACAGTAATATGGGTTATTTTTCCTAATCCCAATCTTTTGAATATTGATAATGACATAAGGTTAATGCTTGCACCTAAATCACATAAAATTTTCCCATAAAATCTGTCTCATATTGCACATAGAATTGTAAATCTACTAGGAACTTTAAGCTCTTCAGGAAGCTTTTTCTGAATTATAGCATTGCACTCATCACTAAGTTTTTATAAGTGAATGAGTATTCAAAGAATAAGTGATTGTTTGCTTCCATGAGGGAATAAGTGAAAAACCCCAAAGTAGGTGTAAGAAGCATTGCTTCAAGATAAGTATATAGAAGATATAATATACATTTATTTATATATTTATTTTTTAGTTGTGACATTTACTTGTATAATGTTCTAATATTTCAATTGCATCAAAATATATGCATAAAAAAACTACATTCCCTTTTAAGAAAGTTAATATTAATAATATTTTTTATTCAATTTAAGGATTTAATTAATATATAAATAAATCTCTAAATTTAAGAATTAGATATATAAATACATTAGAATTATGTGATATATGTATAAATCCATTTCATAAAAAATACATTTATAAATTATTTTCATTCATAGTTAAATAATTTCTTGTGATGCTTACAAATAAAAAAGAGGTTTTTGTTAAGATTAGCAATAATTATAAAATATATAATTTAAGTTTATAATTTGAAAATATTTTATTTCTGATTAATAACTCTTTTATTAATTCTTCGCTAATGACATTTTGATTGAGGCCAAATAATATAGCACTGCACTCCTAAAACTCCACCGTCATTTTGATGGAGGCCAAATAATATAGCACTGCACTCTTAAATTATTTGAAACGATACGTGTACTTGCGTGGAACCACTAGTGTGTGAACTATTTTATATATTTTATAACATTTTGATTTTAACTACTTAATATAAATTGGGTCAAGATTTTGACCATAATTTTGAAAGTTAAATAATTGCGTAATTTCGGGAAATGTCAAGTTTTGGACACTCTTACCAGGGATTTAAATTGACATAAAACATGCAGAAAAATAACACACACTAGGGGCACATCAACTCTCCCCTTCGATCTACCCGATGCCTGACCATCAACGTAAATCCAACACTGCCAACATGCTAGGAGTCCCCTTGCCCATCAGTTGGTTGATTGCTAGCCTGACCATTGGGCACTTTTGGCTTTTTGAGAGGAACCCTCTGTGAGCGAGTCCCCCAAGAGTCTCTCTCTAAGAATGGTAGTTGAATGTTCCTCTGAATTATCCCCGCTCAGAGGGCCTCAAACTGGTCCATCATCTACACTTGCAGTGTCTGGATTTCTTTATGGATGTTTTGATGCACTCTCCCTATTGAACTCCATGGATGTTACATCTCTTTGTGAGGTTTCTTCTTCGTAATTTGCTCCGTTTCTCGTCTGCACCATGCCTATGTTCACCGTACCACATTTTAGAATGTTGCATCCTAAATTGTCCTTCAAAATTACATGGCTCAATAGTTAGAGCCGAGAGAAGGAAGGAGAGTATAGCAGATAGAGAATTCCAAGGTGAAAATGTCATTTATTTATCTTTGACCTCCTATTTATAAGGGTGTAATTGTACAATTATGGAAAGGTGGGAACATTTATAATAACCACTCTGAATGCAACAAATGCGCTAATTTAATATCAGATTTGCGTCACAATTTGAGTGAAATACAACTACTATCAATTGGTAGACACATTTGGTTTGGTCGAACTAGGCGACCAATCACATAACGGTCGCTACCTTCAAGGGAAAATAATTGTTTGACTAGTTTTGACCGGCTGACTTTATGAGGTGCTCAGGTAGTTGGGACTGAAAGCAAAATTTGCGGACTGGATCCGTCGATATCGTATGTTGGTCATCTCAAGTCTCAACTGAGCAGTCGGTCGCCAAATGAGTTGGTTCAAATTATGCTCTTCTATTCGAGACTTCAATTGCTTAGTTATTATTCTTGACTTTTTAATCTTCATGCAGACAATTTGTTAAAAAGATATTTTTTATTCATAATTTTGCATAGTTCTGCTAAAGCTGAACGGGCTCCAGCAACTAATGCTTCTGGAAAACTATTGGTTACGGTTTTATATATAGTGGGACTGGCCAAATGTACCACCACTCCTGCCCGCCTCACTCGATCAACAAATCCTCGTTGGAGCTGATGCCCATGGCCTCGTCCATCCGCAGCCATGATCCCTGCCTCTATCAACACCTCCGCTTCTCTACCCATCTTCTTTCCCGGCGGACTATGAGCTCCTGTCTCCGCATCCTAAATCGCTCACTCTGCTGTCGCTGCAGCAGCCGCTTTCGGGGCAACAGCTTTATAGAAAGGTAAGGAACGAAACAAAAAAAAAACCAGTGAGTTGATAATCTTGTAAACGTCCCCAGTTTTAATCGAACTCACTCTCCTTTTAGCAGTGCTGAGAAGAAGCAGCCAATGGAATTAAAGAAGAACGCTAAGGCCCGCTTACGCCTACGCTTAGAACACCAGGTGGAGTTCGGGGAGCACGTCGCTGTTCTTGGCTCGACCAAGGAGTTTGGGACGTGGACGAAGCAGATGCCGATGCAGTGGACTGAGGCCGGATGGGTATGCGAGCTTGATCTGCGAAAGGGTGAGGTTGTGGAGTTCAAGTTCGTCATAATAACCAATGGGGGGAAGGGGATCATTTGGGAGGAAGGGGAGAATAGGGTGGTGGCTGTTCCGGAGGATGGGGTTTATGATTTGGTTTGCGGATGGAATAAGATGGGAGAGATACTGGATCTTATGGCGGGGGATAGTGAGGTGGAAGTGGAAGGTGGTGGAGATGGAGATGGTTCTTACATGGAATATAATGGGGTTATTGCAGAGGCAGAGTCTACTCTTTTTACGGAGCAGTGGCAGGGGAGCCAAGTTTCATTCATGCGGTCCAATGAGCACGGTAATAGAGAGATGGAGAGGAGATGGGACACTCAGGGGCTTGATGGCCTTGCATTAGAGCTGGTGGAGGGAGACAAAAAAGCTAGGAATTGGTGGCAAAAGGTGTGTATTTTCTTGTTTATGTGGAAATTCTCCTGTCAGCCAACTATAAGAACAGCTAAGAACAAGAAGAAGCAAGGAAATAGGATATTTATTTATGGGCAAGAGAAGAAAATAAAGCTTTTAACAATCTATCTCTTCTAATAGACTTACAACTAGAGGTGACCAGGCACATGAATCTGAGAAGGGCTCGATTGGACAACTTTGGGTTCGGTTTAACTTAAATAAGATACGGGTTGCGTTGAAGCATAAAATGTTGACCTATTTAATATTTCAATCGGGATTTTGTTGATATGAAAACTCTAAATCAACAAAAAAAAAACTAGTTTAAATTTTGAATCGAAAACGCTTCATCTCTTTGACTAGCCGGCAAGTCTCCTTCGCCTCAACAAAGGTCATATTTTTGGATAAATTTGGTTATGTTAACACAAAAAAAAAAATTATGAAGCATATAATAAATAGGTCCCACATGTTGGGCTTGTGTTGTAATAATTGAATTATGAAATAAAAGGTATTAAAATAAAATCAATTTTATGATAGCTACTGCAGAAGATAAGTGTTACAGGTTTCTTTCGTGATTAAAGATTCAATTAGACAACCATTAGTGCTTTTGGGGATCTATTACTATTCAGTGTTAGGGGAGTGGGCTAGATGAGTAGGATTGGTTTCTAGCTTAGTAAGAAGCTTAAGGAGACAAACAAGAGGAAGAGTATGAGAGTACGTGGATCAATCAGAAGGATTCAATATGAAGAAGCCTAATTTCAGTTTTGATAGATTCAGTGGTGGCAGTTCTTGTAGTACCGTAGAGACTTGTGCCAAATGTATAAAAAAGCATAAGAGTGAATGTTTGATGGGCTCACATACATGCTATTGGTGTCGCCAGCCTGGTCACATAACTAGATATTGCTCTGCACTTGGTCTGAAAATGTCAGAAGAACATAAATCAGTTGGAGCTCCTTTACAAAAGACTGCAGGCGGGCAAAAAGGATAGAGTCTACAACTTAAACTCCTACTCTAGTTCAATCAGTACAACCAGTTCGACCTCGAGTTTATTCTCTTACTAATAGAGAGCCTGAAAGGCCTACGACTGTTGTTGATGCTATTAAGGATTGATGAGTTTTATGTTTCATCATATGTTATGGGTGTGTCATTCTAAAGTATGTCTTTATCAGAAGGGTGTTGTTGTTATGTTACCTTGCTTCAAATGTGGTGTTATCCTGATAAGTGGTGTTATGTTACCTTGCTTCAAATGTGGTGTTATCCTGTTTCAGTTATGAGAGAAGTTTAGTTGAGCTATCTTATGTATGGCATTTATTTTATTATATTCTTTTGTTATTGTAACTCTTTTGTTTCTTCTCGACCGAATGCATTTACTGTTACTATTATAGTACTGCACACCTATGATTTCTGGTTTAATAAATTTTGTTCATATTATAATATTGATATGTGTGCTCAGCTTTATTTAATTTATCATTGAATCTTATACAAAAATATTGATTGTTATGCAAATAAGAATAAAATATTATTATTGTATGTTTTTATGTGCATGCTTGACTATGATGGAGTCACCCCCTTATGGTAATAGTGGTGAAATGTTGACGTACCCGTCCACATATATGGGAAAAAATAATGATTTTAAAGTGACAAGGGGTTTTCCTTCAAAAGCTGAATCGGCTTGGCCCGAACCAGTTCAGTTGAGAGGGAGCTAAACCAACCCGTTCCCCTCTTTTTATTTGGCAGGCATTTTCCTTAATGTCTTTATTTCCCGCCCATCCCTCTTTTATTTATATGCGTTTTTATGCCTTAGGATTTAGCTTATGTTATTTTCTGATTTTAGTTTGTGACACAACCGTTGACGTCCTGTTTACCTCTTCGAGGGCTGTATCCTACGTATTGGGTGGTGTTTCAGCTGTATCCTTATCCCGTGGTAGTGATTATCTCTATTTCCTTCCCCCATTTCCTTCCCTTGTTGACCACCAGTCCTCCTACACTTCGTTTCTTCTCCTACAAGCCATTGATCACTTGCC